CGTTTTTTAATTTCATCTTCTATTGTTTTTATTTTAGCTTTCTTTAATAGATTTTGACTTGATACTTTGTAAGGCCAGAAAATTTTAAAAATAAATCTTAAACATTTGTTTTGAAAGGTTTCTTTACTTTTAAGTGAGACTAAAGTTGGAAAACCTTCAAGCTAACACTGAAGATTGCACCTCAGTTCTTTAGAATGATAGCCCTGAGTCTTTAACCAAGAAGCCATTGCAGTTTAAGGACTCACGAAATCGGTTTAAATAGAAGAGGAAATATCCCTGATCCCCCCAAAAATTCAAGGATTTTTTATTCATTTATTTGTTTTCAATACATCTAAGTAGTTTTAATCTAACTTATAATAATTTCGCATAAATACAAATGTAGAACAATAACGCAGATTTCGTTTTTTTATGATTTTTTAAAATGTTTTTGTCACTTTCCTTACTTGATAAATAACGCTTAAACGCTTAAGCAGAATATTATCTAAACGTTATCTTTAGAAAGTCACGTTTTAGAATAAATACCTGTTGCTTCACCCCTAATGTTGTAATACCTGTTATTTCATGTCATCAATTTTCGAGTTTGTTTTTAATTTATTGTTCAAAGTAATTATACCATTATTTTCATTTAATTAAACGATACAATTCACGTTAATTTTGAGAATGAGGATTTTTGCTATAAAGAGGTACTTTATTTTAATAGACCTAAACTAATAAGTATCAGCACAAAAACTTCAGATTAAGCCTTCTAAAAATTCATGATAAGTATTATTTTTTAGGCTTGAAATTAATAAATACAATTTAGAGATTTAGACCAAGATTTTTCCGGCATACTCAATCTAACAAGTGTTCTATAGAAAGCAAAGTATATAATAACTCTGCAAAAAAATTCCAGATCAAATCATGGTAAAAACCGGTTTTACCGTAAAATCCATTCTTATCACAACTATTCTGATGTGCCTTAATTTTTACAGTAATAATTATCGTAAAATCCCTGAATCATTCTAATTACATAAATATTACTGAAAAAATTACGGTGTAATTTTTACGGTAAAAAGGAATTTTACGGTAAAATAGATTTAACGGATGAAACACCCAAAGTATGGGTATTTTATACCGGAATTTGTACCGGAATTTCATGCTAACATTAATATAATAATTATTGCTGCGTTTTAAATTACATACAATCAAATAAATTATTAATTTTGCAGCAGAAATGAATTCAGTTAAAAATCTAAAAATCATGGAAATTTTTTGTCCTTCACATATATTGTTTTTATCCTATTATAAAAAGATTTCATCTGGGGCTGAAGAGTAAGACTCTTTCCCAATAAAAATAGGTAATACTTAAATTGGTGCAAAATGTTCTAATGCATCAGATTAAAATTTTGCATATTGCTTGCATTTTTATTTCTCAGGAATCTATGCATTTAACTAACCTAACGCCATAAATTAGGCCAAAATTTTGATTCTTGAAATGTGAAATTAAAACTTTTCTATTCTTCTATATAAATTTTTTTTAAACCAATTTCACTGGAAATAATAAGTTTTTCTTATTTTAAATCAATCAATGGTATAAAAAATAATTAGTAAGTTTGAATACTGATTTCTAGAGCGGTTGTGGAAAAAAAAGAGATAATAAATTCTGATTTTTATTATAGAACAAAAATGAAAGATTAAACGATATATTTATTTTAAATCAATCGCGGAACGACACAGTTGCTAAGCTGTCTTAATAAAAGGGAACTCTTGATTTATGACTTTCTTGCGTATATAAATTATGTGGAATAAAGTGTGAAATTAATCCTGTCAACATAATATTTTATATTTAATCGTTCATTTAAGCATATATTGATGTAAAAAATTTAAATTAAAGAATAAATTTGGAATTTGTCAATTACAATTTTTTTTTTATTTGCAAAATTTTGACAGTTAAAATATTTAAAGGAAGAAAAACTTAAATAAGTAAATTTAAAAAAAAAAAAACACGCGATTTCTTATTACCTGTGATAATTTTTTTTCTATTAATGTTGTTATTTTGATTTTAAATTTAAGATTTTTTTATGCATAAAGATATTAATAATTTAAAATACATAGCATCTTGATTAGTGGATTAAATAAAAAAATTTCTTTCTATTTAATCCCCTAATCATGGCTTAATTGTTTCATAATATTTTGCATGTTAATACTAAAAGTCGCAAAATACAATTCTTAAATTATAATTTTGATGTATTTTTTACTTTCGTTCTAATGCTAACGACAAGTGCTTTTTGAAAAAGATATGCAAACCTATTGCTTTTTGAATCCTTTAAGCTCTCAGGAGTAAAATTATAGTGGTGACATCTATTATTAAAATGAGAAAATTAAAAGTCGAAGTTACTCAACCTCAATCATCCTATGTAAAACCTACCTAGTTAAAAATTTTCTTTCCATTGCTAATTTTGAAATTCCATATCGGTTTGGCGAAATGATTCAATTCCGTGGGGGTGGGGGAGGGTAAACGTTTCATTATTCCAATTTCTATAACACGCACATCATTGTGTGCTCGAATGATTGCGTATTTTTTTTTTATGAATGCTACATTTTCTCATCAAAATGGAAATTTTCAAGAGAGCTTTAATAAAGTAAACACGAAAACGTCCGATCAAAGTGCAATTTATACCGGTTTGAAGTTAGGTAAAATACAATTCCTTAATTGGAAATCCATTAAGTTTAGGCAATAATATTTACAAAACCATAAACAATTTGATTGGTTTGGTTTTAAGAACATTTTGTACTTATTTTTAAAACGCAACAAATAAATTATTAATTTAGAATGAAAGTTTAATAATAAATTACAATGTTTAGGCAAAACTATGAGAGTTGATTCCGGCTGGTTTTCCGCAACTTCAAAAAAGTACTTTCTTTATAACAAAAAACTTATTATAAGTGCTTATAAAATTATAACTTCTAAGTATTGATATACTTTTTAAATTTAATACTACACTTATAAGTTTTCTCAAAATTATAAAATGTAAAAAATTACATAATTTANATTACTATTACTATACTTATACTAATACTATTACTTATACTAATACTATTACTATTACTATACTTATACTAATACTATTACTTATACTATTGCATAATTACTATAATTATAATACTATATCAATACTATAATACTTATACTATTACTATACTTATAATATTATAATACATTATAATATTTACACTATTACTATACTAATACTATTACTATACTTACTATATTTATACTAATACTATTACTATACTAATACTTAAACTATTTTATACTTTTATACTTAAACTTATACTATTTAACTATATACTATTTAACTATTATACTATTTTAACTATTATAATTTTCTCTCAAAATTATTAAAATAATAATAAAACTTACTTTTAATAATTCCACCACAGGATTAAAAGTTAAAGAAATTATTTTAAAATGCTTGTTAATCTTTAAATAAAAATAAAGTAAAATTGATTGAAGCCGAAAAAAGTTCCTTTAAATTCAAGATTGCAAATAGAGTTGAAATACAAAAGGAAAACTGACAGAAAACAGAACAGAAAAAACAGAATATGAAGTGCTTTCAAGCTTATTGCGTTTGGGTTGCTAAAGTAATGTAATCTCCTGAAAACTGAACTTTAATAAGTTACTTTGCCCGCGAAGTTGCTGTGTAACAGTTTATATTATTTCAGAATATTATTTTTTATGCAAAAACTTATGAATTATTCTTGTAAAATAATTTGGTAGCCAAAATATATCTTGATATGCTTTATTTAATTAAGAAATAATGATTAAAAGATAGGAAAAACTCACAAATCTTTGAAATTATTCCATAAATAATTACTTGTTTTGGAAACATTTTTTTAAAAATTTTTAACTTTGAATTTTTATTTTGAAATATTACTCACCAATATTATTTTCAGTCAGAAGACAATTTTGTTATACCTCAATTTTGTTCGAAATTATATTGTGAAATTGTTTACATCTTCAAAACAAATTAAGTTTTCGTGCAATGTAATTAATTTTAAAAAAATTTGTTATTCAAGTTAGAAAACGTTTTAGAAAATAAATGTTATTTATAATATAAATGTTATTTATATTATAAACTAAAGTATGTCGATTTCAGTGCTTTTATTTGTGCTTTATACATGTTGTTTTGTTTTATTTTACGAAGCACAAGCTACACCTAATCCTTGTTTTGAAAATAAAGTATGTTAAGGCCGTTTTGTGATAAAAACTATTTCGCATTAAAATTTTGTAATTTATAAAAATTTTTAATCTGTGGTTTTAAAATAGAAAAACTGAAAATACCGAAATGTCAATATCTTTTGGTGAGCAGTCAAATATTGTCTAAGTATTCTCTTGATTTCTCCAACATAAAAAAAGAACTTTTTGTAAAGAATTATTTTTGATACTACCTGCTTTCATTGTTTATTTGCTAATTAAATAAACAGATAGTATGCTAATTAAGCTAAAATTTCCCTTTGATTCGCTTTCTTATGTTCTCAAAGTCACATCATATTAAGAATCGCTAAGTCACAGAAAAGCATGATTTTGAAACTTTGTTTATTAAAATGGATTGAGTAAAAATTCTAGAGAAATATTAAGAAGGCTTTCTTCAAAAAGATAACCAAAAAAAAGTTTTCATTTTTATTTCTTTTTATGCTTTTAGGGCACGTCTAATCCCTTTAAATAGAGTTCTTAATACATGAAAGCAATTGCACCTAACGATATTTATTTCATTGAGACGCTTCGGTAACCTTGATGTTATGCCAAGCAGATTTCTCCTAATTATCAAATCATCTCACGTCCATTTTGAACGATTAGATCGTGTAAATATTCTAAATGCAACATTTCAGTCAAGACGTCAAAAAGCAGTTTTACTTTTCAAGGATTGAACGAAATCTAATATGGGATAAAATATTTCCTTAAAATCGCTTGCGAATTTGGATCGTTTTTTAATATCTAGGAGTTAAAATTCTAAAGCTTCAAAAATCGTTTGGGAGACAACTCAATTACTTGATCAACTGGTAACTCATTGACCTTGAGCTTAAATAGTTAATGACTTTCGTTTGGAATATTTTTGTTGCTGGTAAAATAAGTGGCTGAATTGAATTCCTTTTTTTTTTTTTATTCCTATTCATTTCCGAAATCGAATGGTCACTCGCGATTACACTAAAAGAATAGCTGGACTTCCTGTGAAGGACTAATTGTTGCTATCGCATGAACGCATGCTTAAAGTTATAATAAAAGGTAAATAGAAGTATGTTCTTTGTCAATATCTGCTGTATCACGTGATGTACTTTTTGCGTTGATATTGTGTGTAACAAAAAATACCCAATGTAACCAACAAGTGGAAAATCGTCCGGTTTTTTAAATCACTTGAAAATTAGACTGTCTTTATTGGAAAGGACAACTGTTTCGAAACTCACTCTAAAATAACTCATTCTAAATCACCTGAAATTTTGTTTTTAATCTGAAGATTTTAAAGAATCATCACAGGTAAGAATAGATTTGCTTTTACAATCATTATTTTATTTTGTGAACTAAAAACAGTTTACTCACTTTTTAAACTTGTTATTTTTTAAACTTCTTTGATGCAGTTACAATTTTAAAGATATTCTTTTAAAATCTATCATTTGATTATAAGAAATATTTTTATTTTAATCTTCTTAATCTCAACACTTAAGATTATGTTCATAGATTGCGTTTTATTAACGGTGAAACAATCCGGTTTACTTGCAGTATCAAAAATAAAACAAATTTTCCTTATTCTTCAATTTTAAAACGCTTAACTGATATGTGTAACAAAATGAAAACGAGAAAAAAAAACTTTTTTTCTCGTTAAGTAAGCTGTTAGCTTGACAATGATTCGAGTAATTTGATTTGATTTTTATTGTGAAAATTATATTCATATGCATTGTTAGTCAAATTATGTATAATTGTTTGATGGTATAAAATTTTGTAGTATCGTTTCAGTTTATAATTTTAATTGTTTAATAATTTTTTAATCTCAAACCCGAAATTTGGTAGGGTGTTCAACGACGGTTATGAAACATAAAAATATTACTAACCACGTGTATAAAGTCTCTTGTCTCAAGCTTTCATTGTTTCTTACCTTTAATTGTTCTCAACTGATTTGATATAGAAAGAGTGTCAAAGATGCATTATGTTATGACATTTACAACTAGGAAATTGAAAGTTCGAAAAATGAATTTACTGTTCTTATTCGATGAGGAAAGATGGAATAAAATGAAAAAAAAAATGAAACAATGAATCAAAATGAATAAAATGTAAATGAATAAAATGAATCCAGCTAAAAAGCTAGAAAACCATTACTCTTGTCCTTTTCAACAAAAGTCAAAATATTTAGCAAATATATTAAGTACAGGAATGTTAAAATTTGATAATTGTGGCAAAATTTGGAAATTTCATCACGATACTTAAGAGCATAGTATGAAAACCACTTATTTGGTTAAGCTTACTTTTCATTTTTTTATATTTTACTAAATAAGATATAATAAGTATAATCTATTATATATAATTCTCTTACGTGGCTCCCAAATTTTGGCTGTATTTCTTTTCCGCCGGTGACAACGTTTGCTTTGTTTTGAAAACACCAAAGCATTCTGCCTTTTAATGATGTGTTTCTGATCTAATATATATAATTCTCTTACGTG